CCGCCCCCCCAGCAGGGACCGCTTGTGGCTCCTAAGCGGGTCGCTCGGCTGTTGTCAGGGCCTGCGGCGGGACAGGGACGTTTCAGGGTCAGGACCATGGTGGTTTGGCAGGCTGGCCCTGAGGCAGGCTGCAGCCAAGGCAGAGGCGGTTGACGCCGGCTCCCAGCTGAGTTGTTTATGCGCTGTAACGCGTGGCGGAGAGCGAGCCTGCGACGCGGTGGGCCTTCTGCCAGCCTATCTCGTCCACCACGAGCAGGCTTTTCCCTGTCGCAGGGCTCCAAGATCCCGCCCTCTCTCGCCGCGCCGAGCAGGCTCTCTGTTAGCCCGGGCCAGGGCGCGCTGACGGGGCGCTCCATGGATGTACTGGATAAAAATCAGCTTTGGGTCTTCAGAGCAGGCTGTCGCCTGCCCCGTTATCTGGGAGAAAATACATTCCTGCAAATGTTCTGCCTTTCGCTGTGGTTTCTCAAGATGCTTTCTCTCCCCCTGCCTTTTTCTCTGCTTTCAGCCCCCTTGCTGGGCGATTAAATTTTCTGTCGTCCTCCTTCTCCCCTCCCTTAGCCGTCTCTGAGGCTGTTTCTCTTTGCCTTTGGGCAGTCAGCGATATGCTGAGGTTGTAACTCACGCAGAAGTGAGCTTGTTTGTGTGTGTAGGAGGTAACTGTCGTGTTGATATAGCTGTAACATATGCCAGAACTGAGGATGCCTCCAGATGTACTTTCGGGTTAAACTCCAGAGGTTCATTTACATTGCTGTGACTTTGTAAGGCAGCTTCTGGGCCTCGGTCCATGCTCGTATCCATAGTGCCGTTCCCCTTGCCTGTACGGTTATGCTTGTGGAATGGGTGCCTTTATTCTTCTTCTGAGAGTGATGCTGCTTGCTCTATAGCTTTTGACTCTGAACTCTGCTTCTTTTGCTTTGTTTTCTCATGTCTCTTTTGGATTCCTCCCCCAGTTCATTCTCACCTCACTGACTCACTCTTCTAACTAACCAACTGTCATATTCAGCTGCTGCAAAAGCTTGGGGCCTTGTTTTTCCCATCTGTTGTTGCTCTTAATTGGATTTTCTTTTAAATGTTATTTTGCTGGATTATTTATAGAGGAGGTGGAAAGTGTTCATTTTTATATATTAGTGGTAGGGGAGAAAAGTGTTTATTTTTATATTTATATATTGTTTATTTTGTAGATTAGCAAATGACTCCCCTTTCCTAGCCCTTTCCTATCCATGCATCTCCAGTACCCTTGGAAGGGGTGCCTTTGGTAAAGACTTCTTTAAGGGGATAATTTGTTTCTGACCTAGGACATATTGCCCACAAAATATTTTTGCTAGAGTTACAGGGATTTGAGTCTTAATGTTTAGACCTTGGTTGTAGCTTTCAAAAAGGATCAGCCCAATAGGGCATCTATAACCTGTGTTTGGACAGCTCTCTGAAGTGTACTGTCACTTAAATGGGTTCTGCTCGCTCCTTCCTAGGGACGACATGAGGCTTACAAAAATACTGGGACCTCTGTTATGCAAGCCTAACAAGCATAGAGGTTTTGCCACTTTATAGTTATTACAAGTTGCCTTACTGTAGAATCAATTTCCACCAGAAAAAAAATAAGTGTGTTTAGCTATTTTAAGTGAGTCAAGTGTAGCATAAGTACCTCTTGGGCAATGTAGCTGCATCTATACTAGGGCTTTGTCAGTATGTGAACATGCTAAAAAAACCTCAGTAGATGTTCTGCCCATAAGCCCTTTCTGGTATAGACCAGCTTGTAGTCTCTTCACTCCTCAGACGCAGATAACAATTTATCTGATTCACCATGTTATTGCTAGGCTTAGTGTTCTTGCAGAATCTTGGGCTCCGCAGATTAAGCACAAAGTATTATTAAATGCTTGCTTTGTACTATAATACTAAGGATCTATTTCTGCAATTGCTTTAATCTGATCTAAGTGCAGGCTGCCGCTGAAAGGAGCACCTCTAGCCCTGGCTGTATATTATCGTCCTCTGGTGCCAGCGCTACTTTATGTAGCTGGCTGTTAAGATTAGTCTTCAGCTAAATAGTTTCCTTGCCTGACTCACTGTGCAGCCACGCGAATGTTAATGCAGGCACCCTGGAAGGGGTAGGGATGTCCACGCTGGAGAACAGGACCAGCCGTTTGGTGGCAGGCTACTCTATGCTGGATCAAACCACGTCCTCGTTTGGAGTATCTGCGTGCAAGTTTTCAATGCCTTTCTTTGGAGTGTGGTTCACCGTCGATAACATAGCTGGGGGCAGCGGAAGGGGTTTCTCTTTCTCCAGACAGTTGTTGGCCCTGTGGAATGTGTGATCATATAATATTGCTTAAACAGTAAAAAAAAGTTCTTCATTTTAAAGTATTGAATGCTTGGGGGGTTTTTTTGCTTTTTTTTTGTTCCTTGCAGACAGTGTTTGTTGGAAAGAACAAGCCACTGAAAGATCCACTGAGCTCCTTCCGCTGGCAGGGCTTCAAACTAGAAGAATATCTCATTGGCCAACCCATTGGGAAGGGCTGCAGTGCAGCTGTGTATGAAGCAGCTATTCCTTTGTCTTCCAATTGTCAAGGGAGTGTGGAGAGCAACCATCTCGCAGGAAGAGGGTCAACCATACAGCAGAATCATGGCTCAGCTTTACAGGGTGCAGAAGAGGAGCTCGTGCACAAGCACCAGCAAAAAGAGGCTTTTCCGTTGGCTATCAAAATGATGTGGAACATTTCGGTAAGGAGATGGTTCTTAATCTACTTGTCTATCATTTGGAAAGTCTGGGTGAAATGTTTAACACTTAAGTGCTGAAAGCTCTAATTATTTAGCGTGCGATGAGTATGTCAAAACAAAGCTGTTGGTATATGACATTGGAGCCGTAGATTGCTAGCAAAGAGTCGCGGAGCAAGGTAATTAACATTCCTCGTTCTTTGGAGTCAGCACCACCGTGATGCTGGAGCGCTACTGTTGGTGGAGTTGTCGGTTATGGAGGAGACGTTTCTGGAAGAAGTTTTGTTGTCGTTACCTGTAATGACAAACTTTAAGAACTAGAAGGAAATGGAAAAACACTCCTAACAGTGGTTTAGGAATCAGTGTTCTGAGAAGGCATAGGATAAAAATAGGTTTTCTTTTGTGGAGCGTGGCTTAGGGGTGAAATGGTCAGCATTGCTTCTACGATGGGTGGTAGTTAACTTACCTGCCAGGTCCCCTTACAGTGAAATAAGCAGGCGAGATCAGTCTTAGTAAGTCTTTTTCAGCCCAAGTGACTCCATGGTAATCCATATTCTAAAAATTAATATTACACACACACCCCCGCACTCCCACACACCGTTCTATATGTTTTTTCCCATTGAAAAGTTTTTTGTATTGTTTGATGGGGCAAGTGGATACTTGGAAGTGGAAATGGAAACAATAGCTCCCATCCTGCAAAACACCAGCATCTGAAATCTCTTGGGTTTGATAAATATACTGGCATTTAGCTGTGGGCTTTTTCAGTTAGGTTTTAAGTTGAAAAGGACTGCTAGTATATAGCTCAACCTGTTCTGTAACGCACCAGAGAATATCAATTAGTAATTTCTGCAACAAGGAGATGAATTAGAGGGTGGATGGGGTGAATTAGAGGGCAAGTTTAAAGAGACAAATGGATTTCTTTCTTGAAATAAAGGACTTGCTGCATTCCTTGGGAAATTGTTCAAGTAGTTAATTGCCTTCACTGTTTTCTTTTTCAAATTAGAGAAGCGTGTCTCTTATATCTAGTCTAAATTGATCTAACTTCAGCTTCCTTGAGCTATACGGCCAGTTTCAGGATTATCTGCTTTCAGTTTGTATTGAGATTGGATGATTTTAGAGCTCTTAAGGCTTTCAAATCGATGTTCTGTGTAACTGCTGTTGTAGGCTGGTTCTTCAAGTGCAGCCATCCTCAATGCTATGGGGCAAGAGCTTGTTCCAGCCACGGGAGTTGCCTTAGCTGGAGAATATGGAGCTGTCTCTCGCCACAGGTATAGTAACAATGACAACGCAGCGGTGCCGAAAGGCACTAGCATTTGTGATGCGCTGGCTTTATCCGCCTTTATCCAGCGATTCATTTCGCAGCACACCTTTACTGTAAAGGAGGGGGCCTGAGGTTTCTGCAATAGTTCTTGAAAATAAAGAAAACTTAAGTCTTGGGGTTATTAATGACTAGACTCAGGAGCTTGTGTGTATGTTTTGTCTAAACAATAGTGCCTTCGGAAGTGCAGTATACCTTAAGTATGACACAGGGGTGTGCTTCTGTCTGACTTAGAGATTTTTCTCTGATGTGCTCCTCTCTAGCACTGTCAGGAGATTGCTTAGTAATACTGCTGTTCAGATACTAATTTAACACTAACTTGTTTACTTCGAGGAGCGGTACTGTGGCACTGTTTGTTGGTGTACAGGGAATAAAGATAGCTAAGCCGAACTCCTCCTCCTGGGATCGAGAGCTTAGTCTGGAAGGGTATGAAAAGATATTCCAAAAATGTAGGATCTGCTTTGGATCCTGTAAGGGGTCTCATGGGTGACTGTGGCAAGCCACTTTTATTCCCTGAAGCCCGGGGTGCAGAGAGGGAGATGGAAATTCTGTTCTAGTGCAGGTCACTGCACGTATGAAACTGATGAGAAAGAAAGTGGAAAATGCCTTAGTTTTCACACTTTCACCTGAATGAGAAGTAAGCAAACAGCATATATGTGGATAATTGCATTGAAACTTAAATTATCCTGAGTTTTGAAGTTATCTTTTTGTTCCAGAATGCTGCTTTTTTTTTTTAATGTATTTTTTTTTACAACTTGAAACAATGGAGTCCACAGTCCAGACTGTCTGATTTAAATTTCAAATACATCTCAGCTGCCAATACAAAGGAATAATAAATGCTGTTTGGTATGTTGCTAGCCTGAGAATGCAACAGACAAGACAAACACATATTTGGCATTCAAAGGATGAGAGGGAAAAGGTCTGTTTTGCAGATACATGTAGGTAACTTGCCTTTGTTTCAGTGAACGCTTCCTGCTTGTGCCATGCACTAGAGGGTTTAAATTGGCATGCCTAGTGTGAATTTGACCTTTGGTTTATGTCTAACAGAGTAACTAGTTTGTTTGTTTGTTTTTCTTTAAAGTTGTTGCAGTTCTTTTTGAACTGAGAAGCAGCCTGTGAGTAACCGTGCCTTTGTTAGTGATAGGTACAGTAGTACATAAAGGCTAGTAGTGTTTGAATAAAATTAAAGATTGCAATTTGAGCACAAGCATTTCCAGCAAAGCTTGGTTTGTAATGCAGGTAAAGCACAAGTATTTCCTGTTCAGCCATCATATTCTGGAAAATGCAGTTGCCACACAGTCCTAACAAGCGTAGGTAAAGTCATAGTCTGAGTACCCTCTGCTGGTGCAACAGTAGACGGCACTGTGTTGATGATGACAATTCAGTGTTTCCTTTAGGAAGAGCCACAGTACGTTTTTATTTCTGGGGAAAGTGCTGGGACCTGCCCGCTGCTGAGGGTGCTTTGCATCAACATGGAAATCGCTGGTCTGAGCGATGGTTAGGAAGTTGGGAGTGAGCACATCGAGTTTGCGATCAGCATTGTTTATAATCCCACAGTTTCCAGGGTTGTGAACATTTGGGTCTTTGCATAATGGTTTGTCTTTTAAACTGTGTTCAGCAGCCTTAATGCTATGTGTAGTAAGGCTTTCACTTCAGAATAAACATACTTGAAGATGGCTTTGGAGTCCTGCAGTGGGAGGACAGGCCATATTAATGAATAATGAATTCAAAAATAAGGTATGTGTCTGTGATAAATCAAAACTGAATGGTAGTTGATCTAATTTGTGGTGTCGATATTTTGGCACAGAAAACCTGTCTTTGGGAGGAAGAAGTTGCAACCTCATCCAAATATAATCCAGGTGATCCGAGCCTTCACATCCTCTGTCCCTTTGCTGCCTGGAGCCTTCACGGACTATCCTGATGTTCTTCCGTTAAGCTTGAATCCCAGAGGGATTGGTCACAGCCGCACGCTCTTTTTAGTGATGAAGAAGTAGGTGGAGAGAAGCTTGTTACTTTACTTAAGGCTTTCCGTGAGACTGCCCAGTGGGGCTGTGTATTCTGCTGCTACATGGGTCCTTGTAAAGATCTAGCCTGGCTTGCTGCCAAAAAGCAGAGCGTGCTCTTGGAAACACACCTCCTAAGACCTGTTCCAAATCCCTGAGATTTTAACTCTTGTTAAACTATGAAGACAAGCTATTATTTTTTAAGAATTACTTAAAATGAATTTAAAAAATGCTGAACTCGTCCCCATGTGTCCACTCTTCTAATTCAGAACTTTGCCCCCCCACCCCCTTTCTTAATATGTGATTAGAGAGAGCAGGATCAATAATGAGATTTACTAACGCTCAGTATCTCTGGCTTTTTCAATTTGGTTTTGGTTTTGAATGGGTGTGGCGGTGGCACGGAGGCACAACCACCTTCTATTTCCCACGCTTTTTTCCCACCTGTATCTGGAGGAGTGCTCTATCCTGTATTTATTTGCAGAATATATTCTTTCCCCTGCTTCAGATCTCCTCATCTTGCTCCACATTAGTAATCTATCTCGTCTTTCATGCAAAATGTAAAATCTGTACATAAAAACCTGTAGGAATTTATCATGGTGTACCCTGAGACCCTCATCATGCTGTTTAAGAGGATTATGTTATCTAAGTTACACACTCCTGTGAAAGCACCAGATTTAGATGATGGATGCTGTTGCAAAACAAAGGATTTGAGAATAGTGGAGAGGGGAGTGTTGTCAAGTTGAGGCTGGGAGGTGGGAAGGCATTGCGAAGTTCAGAAAGAATTTGGTACATACAAGTGTGCTGTATGCCCAGCCAGACACCGTTAAGGTTGAACTGTAAGCAGTAAGCTTCCGGGATACTAATTCAGCTGTTTTCCTTGTGCTGGCTAGTTATCCTTGCACCCTGCGCCAGTATCTGAGGGAGAACAGTCCAGATGCTTGTCTCTCCACAATGATGATTTTACAGCTGTTGGAAGGTGTGGACCATCTTGTTCGACATGGAATAGCCCACAGAGACTTGAAGTCTGACAACATCCTAGTTGAGTTTGATTCTGGTATGTAGATTGCTAAGTATGAATGGCAAAGAGTAGGGAGCTGATAAAGTTAAGTCATGCACAGAAGTCATGCAGTCGTGTGGATACTTGGGGAAGCCCTACCCAGGTATGCGTTTGGGAAAAAACAAGCATCAAACCCATTCAGGAATCTCAGTTTTGATTTTTAGCCTACCACCTGCTGTCCTTGCAGCGCTTTGGAAGTCATTTATCCTGTCTGTGCCTCAGGTTTTGTATCGTTAAAACGGACTTGGAAGGACTCTTGAGCTACTTGTTTTGCAGTTGAAGAAACATTTTGCTGTAATCAGGTGGAAAGATGCAGAGTCCTATTAAGAAGATGAGTTGTACTAGTTAAGTGAACGTTGGGCTGAACAGATGGGCATACATTAATGCTGTGTTTATGATGCTGGAGGTGCCTTTGCTCCAAGCTCTTGGCTCTGTCCTCTCTCATTGGCACAATAGCAGAGAGCAGTTTTTAAAGTCCCATCTCACGGTCAGGTTAATAATGCTGCACCTTGGGATCATTAAACATCAGCTGATGGGCGAGAGAACTGACAGAGTGTTAAAGCCAGAAGCATTTTCATCTTCTTATTCTCCTGTCAGCCTCTTTAACTGAGATTTTAATTACCTGAGCTCTTTTTCAGCATGATTGAGATTCAAATGGACAGGAAACAATAGCAGGCAGCCAGATCTGTGTAATTAAAGGTCTTGGTAGAGGAGCTATGGAAGATTTTCAGAGATTCTTTCTTTCTTTTCTTGAAGGAAAAGCTTCTCTGAGGCTGTGTTGGATGCAGTTAAGAATGATTTAAGACATCCATTTTTCAATATCAGAGCCTGGAGAAGAACGATTCTACTTTGCAGTGTTTGACTTGTCATCAGACAATAGCTATTAACTAGTGCAAACATTTTCCAGCCTGCCTTTGCTATAGATAAAGACAAAAAAATTAAAAAATTCCTCCATCCTTTATGAATTCCTAACCTTATGAATCTTCATTTCTGTGATGTCAGCGAAGTTTTGTCAGACACATGCTCCATGGGGAGAAGTAATGTTCTTTAAAGAGGAACTGGAAGAACAGCTTTTGTTTTTTGTTAAGAAAAACGATTTTCCACCTAATAGTGCAGAGGAGAAGCAGGAAAACAGTCTATGGCTATACTGATTCTCAGGGATATTGAGATTGTTCCTGAAGACTGTCTTTGATGTTGATATGATGTGGTATTTGGTATGGGCAGGTACTCCTGAACTGACTGCTAACTCTGCTGTCCCTGTGTCATTTGCAGCTGGCTGTCCTTGGCTGGTGATCACAGACTTTGGTTGCTGTTTGGCAGACGAAAATATTGGCTTGAGACTGCCTTTCACCAGCTCTTACGTGGATCGAGGAGGCAATGGCTGTCTTATGGCACCTGAGGTAAATCCACCTGTAGTAACTGTTCGTGTTGATAGTTGCACGCTCGTGCTGCTGGTGAGAATAAGAGTTTCAGCCCCAGTTGCGGTGCAGGCTGTGGGAGCTGTGTTGTGAACTTAAAAAAGGGTAGGATTGGTCTAGAAGCAACGAACCGTGGAGGGGATGAGTGTACATCGCTTTGTCCGTGAACCTTACCTCCGTGCACACACCAAGAAATGCAAATACTGGCTTATATGGTCTCTGCTGATAGGTGTCCACATTAGTACCTGCTGAAAGCCTCTGTGATTGGATCAATCATTTTCTAACCATTCTTGCTTCGTGACCTGCTCGTTCACGCAATGCATTGCCCGTAGTTAGTTGCTGCTTAACTGTTCTCACCCTACAGTCTGTCGTGGAGGATCATCTCCCATAAAGCGGTGTAGGAGGTGCATGTTCTAACTTGAGTTATGGCTGTCAAATGTCTCTGCATTAATAAGTTAAAACAAAAGTCTTCTTTGGAACTGCGCTGGACAGTTGTCGAACTTGTACGACCTTGAACACTAAAAAAATGAAATGTCATCGATCAGTGTTTCGAGGCAGTGTTGACCTTACCAATAAAAAGTTTGTTCCTTAGTCTTTTCTCAGGCCTTGTTCTACGTAGCTGTTAAAGAAGTTTGTGCAGGAGTCTTTGTGTTGTGACGCTCCTGATTTTTTAAATTAAGTTCAAGGTGGTTGTGAAAGTATGTATGGTTCCTTTTTATTTCTCTGATGATAACACCAATAAGAGGCAAAGCATCCGTAACTGTCTAACTGGAGCGCCTCTTCTTGCATTGCTTACCATGCAGATGCAATATTGGTTGTTGGTCCATATATCGCCTATGTATATCTTAAACCCCCAAGTAAAATATCCCTCGAGACTCCTAAACACTGTATGAACGCTAGTCAAAGGTAGGAACTAAAGCCTTGAATCAGATGTTCAGGATCTTCTGTGTGTCCTGGTGGGCTAAGCAGCGCCGAAGGCCTAGAGCATACCAATAGGAAATATTTACACTGGAGATTTAGATGAAACAGTTTCAGTTTATTACAGTTTATTCCACTTTATTACAGTGGAAATGCTGAGTTGATCCTTACTAAATTGTTTTAATAAAACCCCTGGTTAGAGCTGTTTGTGGCATCTTCCCCATCTCTGTGTATTTTTTGCTGCAGGTGGTCACAGCATCGCCTGGTCCAGGCATGGTGATTGACTACGGTAAAGCTGATGCGTGGGCTGTTGGAGCAATTGCCTATGAAATCCTGGGCCTGGTCAATCCTTTCTACAGCCGTGGGGATTCGACTCTGGAAAGCAGAAGTTACCGTGAAGACCAGCTGCCAAGCCTGCCTGATCACGTGCCCCTTGAGGTGAAGCAAGTGATAAAAATGCTACTTCAGAGGGATCCCAACAAGGTGAGAGACTCTGCCTTGAAGCAGAAGTCTAACCACTCTTCTAGAGTATTGTTTGTAGATCATGTAATGATTGAAGACAAGCCTAGATCTTTGCTGAAATATGGTGTTGCATCTCACATGTATTGCTAAATAGCCTACAGATTTGCGTCAAAGGGAGCCACTGAACAGACCTTGAGTTGAGGAGTTAAGTGCAGTTGCCTGATAATAACATTCGTGGAGAGCTTTTCTGTTCACAGGGATTGGACAGTGCCTTAGAGGAGGCCTGGAGGCCTTTTAGCAGCATATATCCTACATGCTAGCAACATGAGTTAACATCAGCTAATTTTCCCTCTCCCTCTTTTTTCAGAGATTATCTGCTAGAGTCGCCGCTAATGTGCTTCACTTAAGCCTGTGGGGTGAAAGTGTTCTAGCCTCCAAGGCCCTCAAGCTTGACCAGATGATTGCCTGGCTTCTCTGCCAGTCTGCGGCTGCTTTGCTCATGGATGGACTGGTGGATAAAAGCAGGGTAGAAACAAAAATGAAGATGTGCTTTTTGGCAAACCTTGAATATGAAGATCTGTGGGCAGCAATGTTCTTGTTGCTGTCCTGGAGGCACCAGACTGGGTGAAGGGTACAATGTGGGGCATGACCATGCAGTCGATAAACGGCACTTTCTCAATGCATGTAGGAATTCGTCTTTTCTGTCTGCCTGGAATCCTTAAATTCTTTAGGGAAAAAGTCTGCAGGCCTGTGTATGTGTGTGTAAGGGGTTGAGGTTACCTGTAGCAAGTGTTATTACACGCTGTTTTTCTCTTCCTGTTAGAAGAAACGCCCTTGCATCGTTACTGGTTTGGTGGGGGGGGTTGCAGAACTTGCAGGTGTCTCGAGGTATGTGGTTTGGTTTTACTCACAGGTGGGAATCTATACTTGACTTCTAAATCACTCGCTGAATGAAGCAAGTTCCTTTTCAGAAGAGGGTGTGTGTGGAAGGAGGTGTTGTACAGCCGCTCTTTACACAGAAGCATCGCAGATTTAAACAATACATGGAGAAAGCTGAGCTGACAAAAGTAGGCGCAGCCTTCCTTTTCTTAGGGGAATCGTGAACCCTGCTCTTGTTAAGACGCAAAAATATCTCGTTATAATACGGCAGCCCAGAGGCCTTCTTGTTGAGAGGCTGACCCATGAGGTAAGCATCGGGAGCTGTTTGCTTCTCGTGACGTGCACAATTAAATACCCAGCTAGCTGTATGCAAAATGGCAGAAGCACGCTGAATACAAAAGCCCACTGATGTCCGTTTGTGGAGCGTTGTAATTCTGCAGTAGCTGCTGCCGACAGACCCAAGGCCGAGTCAAGTTGTGCCCAGGTGGGGATAATAATGAAAGTTAAAAAGAAGGCTAAAGAGCAGCGCCTGTCTGAGGAGTTTACTCCAGCTCCATTCTCTCTTACATAGCTGGGTTTTCTGTTTAAACAATGCAGTGATATCCTTTGCTTGGGGAGGGTAGGAGACATCAGTTTTAAAACAATAACCCTCCTATTAATGAAAATATCATTAAATTGTATAATTACTGGTGTTTAGAGGAACCTGGGGAGAAAGTTATTTATGCTTGTTGCACAATAAATTGGAGATTATGCTCTGATACTGCGTGGATTCTCTGCATCTAGTTCATCTCGGTTCATCGTATTCAGATTTTAGGCTGTGGTGGCCTATGAGTCCCTGAAGCGCTAGTTCAGCGACATCTTACAAGATCATTCAGCCCTTTCCAGTTGTGCTTCTGGAACGCATTATTCCACCAGCTGCGGTTTCCCGAAGGATAAGCCCACTCCTGTTTGAAGAGCGGAGTTTGCGTCGTCAGCGTACTTAGTTCTTACCCTCATGATTGCTAATTCAGTTGCTGCTCTTGCAATTTCCAGATGGTTGAAATTGTGTGTCAGATGGCTGATATCGCCGAGCAAATCATCACACAGCAACGTGCTGTCAGGATCTCACACGTTGAAGTGCTTTCTAGTTCAGCAGCGGAGTAAAACTACCTACCAGGGAACAGCCCTATTACTTGCACGGTGTAGCACCTCGGAGCCCTGCGTTGTCCTAGCCGACAAGCCAGGAAGTCAGTTGACTGCATAATAAACAGCCACCTAATTCTTTTAGAAATACTGCGTGAACGTAGCATGCTAGCAGGGCTGTAAACGGATCAGCCAAGAACACGGAGCCTGGAAAATCATGGAAAATGAGTTTGTTGCGGGAAAAGTTACAGGAACCGTAATCGGCAGGGACACGTGTGCGAGATGTGGGAAGTAACCTTGCACGAGGGGTAGCTGGAAGTTGCATCAGAGCTGCAGAGTCGGAGCCTTTGCTGCCTCTGGAGCGCGCAGCTTTCTGAAGAGTAAATACTGTCACTTTTCTGGTAAATCTCAACTCTGACCTCTCTGTTTTTCTAGTTTTCTCCGAGTCAGCAAGAGCCGACTAGCGAAGCAAGGCATAGCTCCCGCTTGTTTACGTGCTGAGGCTTTTCTCGTAACTGGTGTACCAGGCCTGGAATATAGACGTATTTAATATAAAAACAAATTGGGTGGAATAGGCTTTCCGATGTAACATACTCAAGGCCTACTCTGATCTCAAGCGTACTGTTATTACACCAACCGGGGTTTGACCTTTGCTGTTTATCACGTGTTTGCTGCGTTAACTCCAGACACTGGAAACTTCCTTACCCTTGAAATTATCTCACTTCATCTATCTAGTCTTAAAAATAGCCTGAAGTACCTGTCCCCCTGCACTGCCCCATGTTTTAAAATTGCTATTACTGGTTCTCATTTGCCTGTGTTTTGTCTGCGGTTTTGCTGAAGCGAGGTGTTTTTTATTTGTTTCCCTGTGGTTTTTCTTCGGTTAATGGGACATTTGTGTGGTTCTTCAGCATTCTGGATGCCTTGTTAAAGGGCAGTTTAAAAATATGCGCTGTTAATGCAACAAATGCTGCCTGACTTTCTGAAGATGCTTAAGGTGGCAAAGCCTGAACGTTTTCCAGCGTGTCCCTCTTTGTCTCTAAACCAGAGGCAGTCTCTCAACTGTCGGACACTTGGTCCCAGGCATCACTTCCCAGTGTTTGCTGGGAACCAGGTGGGAAAAGGAGGAGATGAGAAAGACAGGGCTGGTTGGGGGGGGGGAAGGCCGAGCCGGAGCTCTGCCCTTGCTCGTGAGCGCCGGGGGAGGCTGGACATCTGGCTGCACTTTGAACCCTCGGAGGCGGCTGGCTCTTTACCTGGTGTCTGTAGCTGAGCCCAAGCCGCAGTGTCTCGCTCTGCTCCGCGCCGGGAAGAGGGTCTGAGGGAAGGGGCAGGATGAAGCGCCTGCTGCGGGCCGGTTGCCGCACGCTGCGGGAAGCCGGGCTCGG